GAAGTAGAGAAGATTTTGAATGACAGGCCAATCACGCCGGTCTCTGATGATCCAAAGGATTTGGAAGCACTGACGCCGAACCATATCCTTCTGTTGTGCCAAAACCCGTCTTCATCCCCAGATTTATTCGATGAGTCAGATCGATTCAAAGCCAGATGGAAGCACGTTCACCTTCTCGCAAATGAATTTTGGCAGAGGTGGACAAGGGAATATCTGCCGACGCTCCAAGAACGCCAGAAGTGGTTACAACCTAAGCCAAACTTTAAAGTGGGAGATTTAGTGTTGCTTGCAGACAAGAACTTGTCCCGGGGTCAGTGGCCGAAGGGTTTGGTCGAGCAAACCTATCCTGATAGCGAAGGCATGGTACGCCAAGTTGTCATCAGAACAGCGGACGGAGTATACCGCAGAGATGTCCGGAAGCTCTGTCTATTGGAAGAGCAGTTACTAGGTGGCTTGGAACGGCGGCTAAAACCTCTTTGAAGCTACCAGTTCATGTGTGTAGGAAGGGCACCGAGAAGTGTCTGAACTGTTCCGAAAGGTTAAGATAACTGAGGGAACTTTTGAGGAACTTTGTACTGATCGGATAGTTTCGACTAGTTGTACGCTCAGTACTAGTTTGTGCTAAAGCAGAAAGACTCCCCAGTCGTCTTTCGGGGGGGAGCGTGTAAGAGACAGAAAATAAACGTTATATGGTGTGGTCTTCGGTGACCGCACGCAAAATATCGCGGGCGCTCTTTCCCATGAAAAGCACATGCTTTGTTATGGAGTTACACTGTCGTTTCGTTAGGACAAGTTTTCCTTTCTATTTAGAAGGCACAATAACTTGTAAGTATGCAGTATTTCGGTTGTTCGGTCAATATCATCTTTGTAATAGTCGCGTTGTTGTTATTTCAGCGAATCTTTCTCTTTCACGTGCAATTTGTGAATGGAATGAATACAAGTTATGTGCAGATTAGAAACGAACTAGCAAGTGAACAACTGATTAAAGTACAGTTTCAAGTGGCTATGAGTGGACGCTACAGTAATTGAAGAATCTTTCTTTTTCTTTTTAGTTCGCAACACCAATCCTTGCTTGCTTGGTCACTAGTTATGGTAGAAATTGATGCATTGTTATGTTAACATGTAAACAGGTTGACAAGGCTGCAGTAGCTATTATGTCCGATAGTGAGTTAATGGACATGGGCATCTCAGCAGTGGGAGACCGAGTGAAACGTAGGGCATTTTGCAAGGGAGACGGTATGTCCAAAGATGATAAAAGATCTGAAATGAAGAGAAACTTGGCAGAAATTATGAATCTTTCAAAGAGTCAGACTTTCCAAGACAACAAAGAGGAAGGCTGCGGAAAAGGCAGGTAGGGTTATGCCTGATAGGAAAAAGGTTTTATAAAAGGCAGCAAATTTTGTCTTCTTGTGGAAAAGGCAGGTAGGGTTATGCCTGATAGGAGAAGGGTATTATAAAAGGCAAATTGAAATGTGCAGTTTTACCCTCCATTCCTTATCACCACTGCAGCCATCGTACATTTACACGTAAATAGGTTTTGATCACGTCTGTAACATGTTGAGATTACTTTAAGGAAAATAAAACAAGAAGCAAGATTAGGTCACTGTTCATGACTTGGGTGTTGAGTTACTACTTGTAAACGTGATAATCTGCTCTTTAAGAATATCATTGTTTACTTCTGAAAACTAATGACGCAAAAACCAAATCAACAACACGAAGAAGGGTCAGCGGTCAGTGATGGCGGTTGGTCGCAGTTGTATTTGCTCCGCTTCAATTTTATTTTTATTCTTGTTCTGTTGTCTAAGTCGTTTGTTGTGTCATCCGAGTACGTTCCTTTTTGGTTTTTGTCGTGTTTTAAGCGATGGTGAAGTTGCGATGAACATTGATGAAATGGATTTGTACCTTGCAATTTGCTCGTCATGGATGAAATCGACCCGCCATCTTGGATTACAATCCTCAACAAGGACGAGTCGCTTCTTTACTTCGCGAATACATTACACACCAAACTCTATTTCTACTTTCAATGTTACTCGACTTCGGCTGGCAAACAGCGGTGACATCAATCCTAACCCTGGTCCTTCTATTACATCGTTTACAACAAATCGCTTTCGGCAGCGCCATGAAATGCAACGATGTCGTTACCCTTGTAACCTCGTGCAAATCAAGTGTGATTCTGATCTTCATCTTAGAACATCGACAACTAATCTGACTATGTCAGGATTGGAAGTCAAGAGTGGAATTACCGACAGGGTTTGGCCTATCAATACTGTGGAAAGTCGAAGAACTTTTCCTTCTAAAGTTAAAAATTAGCATAATGCTGTTAACAAGAATAATCTCGTGCAGATTTGCATTACTTCGAACAGGAAACCTGTTATCTCCAATAAATCTACTTTATCGGCTCTGAAGTTTTGTTTGTTTGGCCTCCTGAATTGTCGATCAGTCCGCAATAAGTATCTCTCTATCAAGGACTATGTTGTGGACAAGGATTTTGATATTTTTGCTGTTACCGAGACCTGGCTCAACACTGGGGATTATGATAATTTAGTAATCGGAAGTCTTATCCCAAATGGCTATCGCTTTTTACACTCTGCTCGTGATGGAAGAGGTGGTGGCGTCGGATTGCTTTTCAAAAGTTCGCTGCCAGTCAAGCAGACATCAAAGGTCTATCTGGACACCTTCATTTCCTTTGAAGCCATCGAAAGTGAAGTTAAGATTTTTTCGCAATCTGTTTCCATCCTTATTGTCTATCGTCCTCCACCCTCATCTGGAAACAATCTTTCAACTGAGCTTTTTATGAATGAGTTTTCGTCCTGTTAGAATCCTATATCACTAAAACTGGTTCACTTGTAATCGCTGGTGATTTTAATTTTCATGTTGATGATACAACTGATACTGCGGCGGCTAATTTCC